ATCTTGTATGGGGGGTGGCGGGGGGGCTCCCTGGTGCCGGGACAAGGGCAGAGCCCCCAGTCCTGCCACTGACCCTTCCTCTTCCCCCACCACTCCTCCAGGGAGAAGAAGGAATTGCAGAAGATCCTGGACAGGAAACGCCACAACAGTATCTCGGAGGCCAAGACAAGGGAGAAACATAAGAAGGAGGCGTAAGGGCCTCGGGGCGGGAGCCGTGTGGGCGCTGGGCAGGCCGGGCGGGGTGCCGGCAGTGGGCCCACTCTGCCTTGCCCCTGTGCAGGGAGCTGACAGAGATCAACCGCCGCCACATCACGGAGTCTGTCAACTCCATCCGCCGGGTGAGTGAGGCTCAGGTGCCTCCGTCTTCCTTCAGTCATCAGAGACCCAGCTCCTTGGTGCTGGCCTGGTGCCCTGGAGGGTTCCCAAAGCCCTGCCCTCCGGCCCCCACCGCCCCTCAAGCCCACACCATCGAAGCCAACTGTCTCTAACCGAGCCCCATGGCTTTGGAGGCTGGGCCTGGAGCATTAGCCACAAGAATTAGTTTCTCAGACCCCTGGGCACGCAAGGAGCCTGGCCCCTCCCTCAGGACCTCGGCTGAGCTCTTGTCCCCCCCTGACAGCTGGAGGAGGCCCAGAAGCAGCGGCATGAACGCCTCGTGGCCGGGCAGCAGCAGGTCCTACAGCAGCTGCTGGAAGAGGAGCCCAAGGTGAGTGCTCGGGCGAGGTGGGCACTTGGGCAGCAGGCGGAGTGCTAGGTGGCCCGTCCTGTGATCCTCCTCCTCCTCCCACAGCTGCTGGCCCAGCTGGCCCAGGAATGTCAGGAGCACCGGGCCAGGCTGCCCCAGGAGATCCGCCGGTGTCTGCTGGGCGAGACGTCGGAGGGGCTGGGGGACGGACATCTGGTGGCCTGTGCCAGCAATGGTCACGCGCCTGGGAGCAGCGGGCACCTGTCCGGTGCTGACTTGGAGAGCCAGGAGGAAAATACGAAGCTCTGAAGTGGCTGAGCAAGAGGTGGCCACCGGGCCAGGGTGGGCGCTGGGAGGAGGCCGGAAGCCAAGACACTAATGCTCTTTTTTTCTTTTAACTTTTTATCTTTAGAAATTTTATTTTTTTAAACTGAGGCGAGCACCCTGCACTAACTTCCTTCCTTCACCCTCTCGGGGCCCCATTAGTCCCCAGCCCCTCCTTCCTGTCCTTAGTCCTCAGGAAGGTGCTGGATCACTCTGGGCCAGAGAGCTTGAGCGGGGCCCTTGCCCCCCGTGCCACCCACACCCCAGAGTGGGAGCTATGCCCTCACCTCCCTGGGGAACACCATGCGGAGGCAGAGCGCTGGGCAGTAGGGGTCACATTCTTTCTCTATTCTCTGGGGACTTTTTTTTTACGTGAATAAAAGTGGATTTCAGGGACCCTGTGTGCAGCGTGGTTTGGGGTGGCGCAGTGCTAGAGAGAACCCTGGGTCGCAGGCCCTCTCTGCCCCTTCTTCTGGGGCCTCAGTTTCCTCATATATAAAATGGGCTTGTGGGCACTCTGGGGTTGAGGTCAGGCCCCCAGTGATGGGGTGCGGGTTTGAACCTTCTTCTTTTTTTTCTTTTTTAATTAATGTTTTTATTGATTTCAGAGAGAGGAAGGGAGAGATAGAAACATCAATGATGAGAATCACAGATCGGCTGCCCCCTGCATGCCCCCTACTGGGGATGGAGCCCACAACCTGGGCCTGTGCCCTGACGGGGAATCGAACCCTGACCTCCTGGTTCATAGGTTGATGCTCAACCAGAGCCACACCTGCCGGGCTGGGTTTGAACCTTGATACCTGCTTGCCTGGAGCCTGCAGATCTTCCCAATAACCTGATACCAGAGGCTCTGTGGCCACCCCCAGGCTTTCCTGCCCCTGTGCCCTCTGCCCCTGTGCCCTCATTTTTCTCCCTTCTGGGCTCTTGTCCTCTCTTAATGGAGGCTCAGGCCCTGCCCCCTTCCTTTTGCCTAATATGACCCAAGGGCCCAGCATCTTCCGCTGAGGCTGCTCTGGGCTCCATGAGGCAGTTGACTCTGTGTCAGGAGACGGACTGGGGTGGAGCTGGGCAGCGATAGGTGGGAAGTGGGTGGGCCTGGCAGTGACCCTTGGGAGAAGGGAAGCTGGCGGTCGCAGACACAGGGGCTGGGACACCCAGCGCCCCCTCCTGCCTGTGAGGGAGATGTTATGCCTGTTTTGCAGGTGAGGAAACTGAAGCCCAGACAGAAGTCCCGTGTGCCAGGCCAACTCAAGGTGTCCTGACCTGGAGGCAGGGCAGGTCTGAAGCCTCCATGGCAGATGGTCTACAGCTGGCCTGGCGGACCTGCTCCCTGCCTCGGGACAGCGAGGAGTGGCAGAGACCCGCGGCGCGGCGAGGGTGCGGCTGGGCTCTGCTGCAGGGGCAGGCTGGCACTCCTTCAAGGCCTCTCCCCGCTTCCTGGCTGAGCGTCCCGGCTGCCTGCCTCCCTCCTCCAGAGGAAGGCAGCCTCTTATCTGGGCTTATCTCCTGCCAATTGAGTATTTTCTTTCTTTGTTTTTGCTGCAGCCTCAGGCAAACAGATGGGGTGGGGAGGCCGGAGAAACTGGACTTCCAGAGTGGAGGCTCTCCCAGGGCAGGGGACCTCCACTCTGGGCCCTGCTTCTGGGGTCAGTCCTTGTCCTTTCCCCAAATCTGTCCACCGCACTGTGTGTCCAGGCCCCGCAGCAGCCAACTCCTACCTTCTTGGCTTGCCTCCTCTTAGAGAAACACTACACGCCAGTCCCCTGGTCCTCAAAGACCAGGCTAAGCTCCAAACTCCTGGGTATGACATACGAGCCCCTCAGAAGCCTGGCCTCTGCTGCTCCCCTCTCCTTCCAGGGTCCACTCTTTCCTCTCCCCAGAATGACAGCCCGCTCCCCCAGCTCTCCCTTCGAGTCCCAGCTCTAACTCACCGGCTGTCTTAATTCATCTCTCTGTACCCAGCACCAATCACTGGCTCATCTGTAGGGGGCGCCAATAAATCTTTCTGAAGTCGAGCTCGGAGCTCTGCTCCCAGGTCCTGCAGCTTCTCTGGTTCCCTATTTATCACTCTATTCACAGCCCTTGGCCGGCCTTCCGCCACCCCCTCCCCCGTCCTGCGCGCCCAGCCAGCTCCCCTAGCAGCGCTGGCCCCGGGCCGGCCACACAGTAGCTGTCCTGAAGGACTGACCCAAATAGGAACAAATGACCCTCCCCGGGGGACGGCGGCACGGTTTGCAGCGCACGGAATTCCGGCGGCCGGCCGGCCTGCGGTCCCCAATTACCAGATTAGAGATAAGGGCCTGGAAGTCCCTGGGGCTCGACTGGCCAAGAGGCCCAGCTCCGCTCGCCGCCTCGACCCCTCCCGCCGCCACTCAGAGCCCACGTGCCTCTTATGCACAAGACGGCGGCGCCCCCTGAAACTGCCAGCGCTGCGCTGCCGCGAAGCCCCCAGCGACCGACAGTAAGCGCGCGGTGTAGATGGGGGCTTTATTAGCACATTCCGTGGCGAGCGGCAGCCGCGGGGTCACCGCGAGGAGAGGGTTCTGGGGGTTCCGACCAGCAACTTGGCGCGGGCGCCGGGGGCAACCCACTTCCAGCGGCGGAGGGCGGAGGAACTTCAAAACTTCCGCTGAGTGGGAGCCTCCCCAGTCCCCGCACACACCGGAAGGGAACCCGGCTCCGGTCAGGACTCCTCCTTCCGACACGGGGAGACCGGATCCTCTGCGGAGGCGACTTCCGCCCACACCCAAGATGGCCGCCGGGCGGCGCGCAGGGGCGCTTCCGCGTGGGAAAGAAGGTCACTGGGAGGGGGCGGAGCCTCCTCTCCCCGAGTTCCGATCCCACCAGGACTGGAAAAAGCGCGTCCAGCTGGACTTCTGCCGCATCTGCGTTGCTGTGCCAGCGCTCTTCGGGCGAGGGAGACCCTTCGGTGGGAAGACGGAAGGGTTAGATGAGTTAGCAGGGCCCGCCATTCCGGAAGCCCATCTCTAAGAGACAACAGCCCCCAGCATGCCCCGTACCGAGGGGGTCTCCTGACCACTTTCCTAAGCAGGAGAGATCACTGGTTTGGGCCCTTAGGGGCGGGCGGTTAGATCCTGACGCTCCTTGTTGGGGGCGGGGAGAGAGGACCGGAGGACCCTGTGTGTTAGCGCGAGAGCTGGAGGTCTACCACCGGGAAGATGGGACCGCAGCCCGAGAATTAAAGGGGTCCGAGGGGTGCTCTCCCTCCACGGAGCACGCCTGTGCCATTCCCCCACAGGCACGGATTCCCTAAACTCTTAGGGACCCCACGGGACTTGCAACCAGGGGAGCAATGGGCAGCGGCAGCTCGGGGCTAACTCCCTGAACCTGTCTCCAAGGCCCCCTTTCTCTGACTCCCCAGTGAGCTAAAGCAGCCCAGCCTGGGCTCTCCTGTTGCTTCTTCTACGCCCTTCCTTGTTTCACTCTCCTAAGTATGTTTTTGCTGTGATCGGTACATTCTTGCTTGCTTTACTTAAAAAAAAAAAAAAAAGTCCAAAGTTGAAGGCAAAGAACCCGGACACCTGGAAGGGGTCGGCTGGGAACACAGATGCCCATGGGCTTTGCGTTCCACGGATTTGGGGCCCCAGATCTCGGCCTTCTGGAGCGGGGTCTGGACTACAAATCCCGGCATGCTCTGGGACTCGAAAAGGGACCGGTCCTGAGACTGCAGGTCCCGGCATGCCCCGGGAGCCCGAGGGGAGGGGGCCCGGAAGTCCAAGTCCCGGCATGCACCGGCACGGGTCCTCCCCTTCGTCGCTCCGCGCTCACCTTAAAGGAGCCCTGGAACTCGTCGCTCATCCTCCGGAGCTCGCGGCCGTAGCGCTGTGCTGCCCAGAGGTTTGGGGGCGCTGAACGCGAGCGGCCGCGGAAGGGGCTGGGCTCCCCCTCCTCGGTGTCGTCATCCTCCTCGGTCCCCGTGGGGTACGAGCTGTGGCGGCTCCGCGGCTCCACAGACCCAGCGCCTGCAGAGAGGGTCGACAGTGCGGGCTGGCGTGAACCGCAGCTCCTCTGCGCCCCAGCCTTTGCCCCTCTGGCCGCTGATGTACTTGTGTGCACAACAGCTCCAGCTCCCGCATGTAAATCGAGGGAAGCTCCTGGAGCTTTTGTGAAGATCTGAATTAACTTCTCATTAACCCTACAAATCGTAACTGAGCCCTCAGTGTATATAAAAGGACCTTCCGCTGTGCCTGGCACAAAATCAGGGCATAAGAAATGGTAAGTTACAGTTATCCGTGCAAGGCCTATGGGTTGCTAGCTCTTTAATCATCGCCATCCTGCAGCAGAGCAGGCCATTCCCCTGGATGAGGAGGTTCCCGGCCCGGCCGCAGCGCTGAACTCCAGCCCTGCAAGCCACCTCCCGGTGCTCATTGCTTCACTCCTGGGGTACGGCCTGCAGGAGACCCTGGAGAACCAGGGGCAGCGGCCATGTTTGTGCCTCCCACAGCACCTGCGCTGGAGAAAATGTCCTGACCAGCGTGTTGACATTTTTAGGTAATATTTACGGAGCACTTACTCTGTGCTCGGCCCTGGGCATGGCCTCATTACCCTCTTAGCCATGTGGGGAGTGAGTACTAACTGCCCGTGTTCTGCAGATGGAGACAAGCTAACAGGGTCAGGAGCGCCCAGCTGTGAAGCTCTGAGGCTGCAAGTGCCTAGAGGTTTGTTGGAATCCAAAGTCCAATGATTATCCTTTGAGCTTCACCTCTTTCCTTATCCACCCACCTTCACTCTCTGAACCTGTCTTCGCCTCCGTGTGGGGATCAACCCAGCCCTTACTCCCAGTGACTGTGGAAAGGTCACAAAATAGAGCATGAAAGTGCTTTGTGAACTGGAAGTGCGTGACGGGTCATTATTCTACTGAGTTGGGAGTTTGACTTGTGTACTGTGTGCCATCCCCCCACTTCTGCCAACCCCACCCCCATATCCAGATCAACAAAGACCTAGAACTACTCCTAGGACCAAACACCCAGACCCAAGTAATAGCGTGGAAGGTGGGTCTGGAACAGGTGCCCAGAGCTGCTCAGCATGCGTGGCAGGGCCGGCTGTCAGGGAAGGCATTTTGAAGGAAGCAAGATTCAGGTCAGGTTTTGAAGCCAGGGGGTAACAGTGTCTTCTCCCTCCAGAAGACCTTCAGCAGAGCCCTCCGGCCAGCTGCAGGGGCTGCAGGGCCTCCAAGGGTCCCAGCCCCAGATACATGGCTGAGAAACCCAACAAGGGAACAGAGGGCTGGGTCCAGAAAGGCTTAGGCCAAGAGGGTGTGGTCAGAGCGCCTGGCTATTCAGGGCTTCACCAAAGCCCAGGCCCGAGGTCAGGAAGAGACCCCCACAAAGCCCTTGAGGATGGAGGTGGCAGTGGGGAACAGACAGCTAAATCAGGAGTGGGCGGGGATAGGGACCAGAGGAGCCGGGAAAAGGAAGACCCCTGACAGGGTCAGGCCCATCTGCAGGTCACTTCCCAGTTCTGTGGGATGTGGGAGGTGAGGCAGGGGCAGTAGCTAGGTAGGTCCCACCTCAACCATATTTCCTGCTTTCATAGCCTGAAGCCTCCTACCTTCCCAGTGAGGTGGATGCCTAGTTCTCCCTATTTTAGAGATGAAGACTCCGGCACCCAGAGGTTAGGAACTTGTCTGAAGTCACACAATTGGCCACGTAAGTGCTCAGGAAATGTCAGCTGTTACTCTCCTTTACCAGCTCTGAGAACCCAAACAGCCACCACACTTAGATGCAGGGCCCGAGAGAAGGGAGGGGCGTGATCTGCAGATGGACAGTCTGGGCACTGCCTCCTGATCAGGAATCACAAGCAGAAGGACACTTGGTGTGTCACTGAAGAGCTTCACTTGCATTCATTCATCATGTCCTCACACCCTCGCAGGGAAGTTACTCACTGTCCCCATTTGGCAGTGAGAAAACTAAGGCACAGAGAGAGTAATTTGCCCGAGGTCACTCAGCCAGTAGGTAGCAGAGCAGAAATCTAAACCTGAGTCTGCCTCCAGGGCCTGTACCCCTCATTCTCATGCCTCAGGCGCCCCCTTGGGGGCCCAGGTTGGAGAATGCACCCTGGCTTTCTGCTTATGTCAGCTTCAGCTGGAGGCTAGCCTCTGGGGTGGAGGGTTTTCACCAAAGCAGTGGATTTAGCAGTGCAAACTCGCCACTGTCAAAGTGACACATTTGTGTCAACTGGAATTTTAAAAGTGTCCTATTTACTAGAAAAAACCTAGGAGATTTCTGTGAACCTGTGGGGAGGGAACATGCCATCTGAACCATCCCACCTCAGTCAGCAGTCACCCCTGCACACTGCTGGGCAGGGCAGAGGTGGCCTCTCCCCACTTCCGGAAGGTCAGGAAGAGGGAGGGGGCGTGGCTTCTCTGGGTGGGAGCATGGGTGGGTGCCTAGACCTGCCCACTCATACCACCCTCCCAGGGTGAGCCTGGGGCTGGTGTGGGGCAGTGGGAAGAGTCTATGGCTGGAGATACCCCACCCCCCAGCAAAGCTTTAAGTTCTTTACCCCCATGGGGCTTCCAGGTAAGTGGGTGGGACTGAACACGTCCCTGGTCAGGCTTCGGCGAGCATCCTTGCAGACTTAACTAAACAGTAGCCTGCAGACAGTGGGAGGCAGTGAAGCTTTGCCATCAGCAGGGCTCTCCCACTGCCTGCCCCCAGCAGGCAGAGCAGCACACAGCCCGTGTAGCTTCTAGCACCTGCAGGCTCAGGCCCAGACTCCCTGTGTACCCTAAAGCCATTTGGGGACCAAAGCCCCTTACTGGCCTGCAAAGAACATATACCCCCATCTTGCTCAGAGCTGACGAAAGCAGAAAGCAGGGGCTGGCAAATGTCTTCTGTAACGTCAGAGAGTAAATATTCGGGTGTTATGTAGGGACCTGGAAACGAATTTCATATCATTTTCATGTTATGAAATGTTCTTGGACCTGTTGTCAACTATTTAAAATTAAAAAAAAACATTCTTAGCTCATGGTCTGTACAAAAAGAGGGATTTAGCCTGTGACTATGGTTTGCCAACCCCTGCTCTAAACCCAACTATGTCTGTCCTCTGTCTGAAACCTTCAATGGCTCCCTATTGCTTATGAGATAAAGTTCAAACTCTGGAATGGCTTTTAAGCCCTTACATTCTGGTTCTAACCAATACTTCACTTGTTTGCCACCAGGGGGTATTGGTTATTCATGTCTTCCTCTCTGCTTAATAAATGGCAACCCCCAGGTCTGCTCAGAGCCTGGGCCAACTCATAGTAATAATCATGATGATCACAGTAATAGTAAGAATAGCATACACTCCTCTGTGCCAGGCACTGTTTCAAAACACTTTTCCTGTATTAACTCATTACAACCCAATGAGGTGGGACTGGTTCTATTCCCATTTAACAGATAAGGAAACTGAGGCAAAGTTAACTGACCTGTTCAAGCTCTACCTGCTAATAAAGAGTAAAGACATGTTTCAACCCTGCAGCCTGGCCCTGGTGCCCAGTGCTGAGCTTTTTCTCCCACTGGGTGTCCTTCCCTCTCCACCATCCATCACCCACAGCTCACCATGCACCAGACCCTCCCAGGCACTGGGCTACGTGCTGGGCTGGCACAACACATAGGGTGGCTGCAGTCCATGTCCCGGGGACACTTACAGTCCAGCGGGGGCCAGAGGCAGGGCGTATGAAGAGTGAGGGGACCCTGCCCATCTGGAGGAAGGCAGTGGCTCTGCTGGATCACTGGCACTTAGGGATCTTTTATGGAAAAATCACTTGCTTTTTAGACATTGAAAAGGTTTAAGAAATCCGCCGACCAGCGTGGCTCGGTGGTTGAGCATCAACCTATGGACCAGGAGGTCATGGTTCGATACCTGATCAGGGCACATGCCCAGGTTGCAGGCTCGATCCCCAGTAGGGGGCGTGCAGGAGGCAGCCAATCCAGGATTCTCTTATTGATGTTTCTCTCTCTCCCTCTCCCTGCCTCTCTCTGAAATCAATAAAAACATACATTTTTTTAGAGTGTAAGAAATCCTGTGTGGTGGTGTCTGTTTTCTCCCCACAGCCCTCCTCGTGGCATCGCCTTGGCTCCTTATTGCTGCTTCAGACCGTCCCCATGCCCTCCTCCCTAAATCTAGTTTCTCAGGATGTGCCAGCCCCCCTCTCCATGCCTCAGGCACCCCCAGACCCAGGTCACACCCCTACTTGTGCAGGAGGTTGCTCCAGCTCCCTCCCTCTCTCCTTTGCCACTCCATTCCTAGAACAGACGTGGTCCTTCCCACCTCCTGGCCTTTCCTTTCCTTGACTTCCTTCACCCGTCCTCACTCTCCTTCCCCCGGGCAGAACCTAAACTATTTAAAAACATAAAAACCATTCTTAGCTCATGATCTGTACAGAAAGAGGGATTTAGCCTGTGACTGGTTTGCCAACCCCTGGTCACCATCAATAACTCCGTCCCAAGTCGCCACAGGCTCACCACCACCTCCTATAGGCCCTGGCGATGCCCTGGATGCCTGAATCCGATCACTTGGCTCTACTCAAAGCCCTCCCCTGTCCTCACTCCGCCTCTCCAACTCCCTGCCCTCACTCCGTCCCCTCAGGCCACACTGGCCTCAGGGCCTTTGCCCAACCCATCCCTTCCAGATCTCTCCACTGGTAGCCGCAGGGCTCAAGCCTTCATCCCTCCCAGTCTTTGCTCAAACAGGTGCTTCTCCCCAAGGCAGACCCGGCCACCTCAGTTCAGATCACTCCCCTGGCCCCCAGTGCTCCTGATCTGGAGAAAGGAAAGACTCTCTATCATTTACTTGTTTGTTTGTTTATGGCTTGTCTCCCCCACTGACTAGAATGTAAGAACCACAAGGGCAGGGACTGCTATCTCTTCTGTTCACTGGTGTCCCCTGGCAGCTGGGACCGCACAGGGCACAGATTAAATACCCAATACAGAGGAGGAGCAGCCAGGTGTGAGTGGAAAGCTGTTGGGAGCAGAAATACAGCAAGTGCAAGGATCTGGACGTTAGAGTGTGTCTGATGGCGTGTGCCCGTGGGCTGCGGAGGAGCCTTCTTGCCCCTGGAAATGGGGGGAGGGTCATTTAGGCTTCAGCAGGCAAGGGGCCTGTTCTTCTTTTTAAAAGTTTTTTATATTGACTTTTTAGAGAGAAGAAGGGAGGGAGAAAGAGAGAGAAATATCAATGTGAGAAACATCAATTGGACAGCACGTGCCCTAGACGACTAGGGATTGAACCCCGCCACCTTTTATTTTATTACTATTTTTTAAATATATATTTTTTATTGATTTCATAGAGGAAGGGAGAGAGATAGAAACATCAATGATGAGAGAGAATCATTGATTGGCTGCCTCCTGCGTGCCCCCTACTGGGGATCGAGCCGGTAACCCCAACACATGCCCTTGACTGGAATCGAACCCGGGACCCTTCAGTCTGCAGGCCGACTTTCTATCCACTGAGCCAAACCGGCTAGGGCCCCCGCCACCTTTTAGTGCACCAGACAACACTCCAATCATCTGGGCCACAGCAGCCAGGGCTGGGGGAGGGAGGGATAGTTTTTGCTTTCAAAAGATCTCTGTGGTTTTTCTGAGGTGCCAAGGCCTGTGCCAGGCCCTGGGGAGTGGAGACAGAAATGGTCACTGCCCTCCAGTGCCCATCCTTCCATTCGGCCTATGCTCCTCCGCGCGCCTCCCCCCCCCCCACACACACACACAGACTAGCTGCCAGGGAGGACTGTCCGCCTCTAGTGGTTACTAGCCTTTGGCAACCAGCAAAGATAGCCCAGGTGTGGGTGTGAGCCACAAGTTGAGAAAGAACAGACCTGGAGGCTTAACCCTGCTTTACCCCAAGGGAACCAGCAAACAAGTGTGACCTTAGGCAAGTCACTTCCCCTTTCTGGTTCACTGCCTGACTCTCAGTGATTTGCTGTGGTCCTACCCTAACCGCCACATTCTTTGAGCATTTCCCAAGCACCAGCACTATAATTACTCTCCTAATCACCCTAACAGCCCACAATGGTGGGGATTCATTGCTCTGTTTTACAGAAGAGGAAAGCTGAGGTCCAGAGAGGTTGGGGACTTACCCAAAGCCACCCAGTGAGTGTGGATGAGGCTGAGGTGCAGGGAGCTACTGGGCTGGGAGCAAAGTGGACAGGCAGGTGGTTGTGTGTGTGTGTTGGGGGGTGCCTACCGTCATGGTGGCTGCTGCTGGCCGGCTGGCCCTGCTGGTGACCAGCTTCCCCCAGGAGACCCGGGACCGTACTCCAGTGCTTGTTGAGGCCTGGGGGCTGGTCCCCTGTGGGGCTGGGGCCCAGGCCCCTATCTGCAGGGCTGGAGTCTTCCTGCTCACTGTGCTCAAACTCTGGGATCTGGAACATGCTCTGGGCTGTAGGGGCGAGAAGGTAGGTAGTTATGGCCCAGCTGGGGAAACGGTCGCTGGTGGGGGCGGGGGAGCAGGCGCCCCTGTTCCCTCTTCCACCTTAGGATCCCGGGTCCGCCCTGCCTCCCAGGCCCCAGTCTGTCTCCTGAGTCCGGCCGGGCAAGCTCAGCCCGTCCACCCAGAACCGCCATCTCCTTCCGGAACCTTGGTGCTGCGGAGCCCCAGGCTCCCGCCCCCCGCCCAGGCTTCGGCGGCACGCAAGACTCACCCCAAGCCCGATCTCGAGGCCCCTGACCCGAGCCTGCGCCTCCCTCTAGCCCGGAGGGAGCCCGGCTCTAGTTGCCTGGGCGACGGGAACTGTCACCGACGAGACCCAATCGCTTATGGAAATGTCACCAGGGCCGGCCAGGAGGTGGGGCCACTGTGGGCCC